GAAGTTTTCTTTCTTTCTTTAAAGTTGTATTTATATGAGCAGCAGTAATTTTTCTTTCTAGCTGGCCATTACTGTTTCTTGTCATGTTTAGCAGCCAACCAAAGTCCTTGATAGAAAGTGCCGCATTAAAAAGACAAAACTATTAATTTATAGTCATTGTTATTAAACTACAGAAGCAGAATCCAATTATTATTTTAAATAAATGTGTGACTTTAAATGCTAGCCCAATCAGACCGATTACATTTGGATTTGGATGTAAAATCTCAAGGCATACTGCACTTATTTTATTTTGTTTAAGGCACCATCATAAGGCTTAGCACTTTTATTATTATTGTTGTAGGACACTACCAAATAGGTGCTATATGTAAGCTCAACACATACCATGAACTCTATGATACCTAACTGTTGATTAGAGAAAACAACTTACTTAAAATCACTCTTTAGATCATGGTAACTACGGTCGTTTAATGTTGTGTCTCGTCAAATGTGTTAGTTATGTTTATGTATTTTGTCTGTCATTTCCTGTTTTATTTTGTACTTACCTCTTGTGTTTCATTTCAGGCCCTGTTTCTTCCTCCCCTTGTGTGTTTTTCCCGCCATCATCAGCGTCTGCCCCGCCCCTGATTGTTTCCACCTGTTCCCACTCACCTCATGTTTCAATAGTCCTGTCTCTCCCCTGTCCTGTGTCAGTTCGTCTTGTTTGTTTCCTCGAATGGTCGTGCCAAGCCTCAGCTCAGAAAGGATCGCTTTCACTCATGTCAGGTTTGGTTTATTTTGTTTATTTTTGTTGGCTTAAAGTTGTTATTAAGTCCTCTTTTTGTTACGCTAGTTTTTTCCTCCTTGTGAGCGCCTTTTGTTATTTCCACCACCTACTCCGTTAAGAGGGATTACCTGAACTGTGAAAATAAATACACTTTTTTATTACATTCAAGACTTTGTCTCTGGGTCGTGCATTTGGGTTCATCAGTTTGTGTCGAGGTCCTGACATTTAAGTCATATAGCTAGCAATTTTCACCCATGAAGGCCATCAATTCATCCGATTGGACGAAAAAGTGAATGTGAACAATTACTGTCAAAATGTATCATTCGTCCAGTGCTGGGGTTTAAAACCAAATACCTGCAATACGTCTTACATTCCAAATAGTGTGCGTTATGCCAATTTGCATATGTTAGAATCCTAAAATAGTCAAATAACTATGTGAGCATGGAAAATATGTGACTCTTTTGGTTGTCTTTTTCTCTTTGTGTTGTGAAATGACCCTGTCTGTCAGCTTTTGCATTTGTTCCCTCAGAGGACAATAAAGTAAAGTGTGGGGTAGACATTATCATACAAGACTTGTGCTGGCACATCTTCTGAGTTTTTTTTGTTTTTTTTTGTATTTTGCAAAAATACCTGGACCATGAAAGCCTTTAATATACACTTGGTTCTCAACACACCTGTTGTACGGTAGACCTTTTCTGTAGCATAAGAAGTCAGGCTATTAGATTTTCTTCACTTGACAAATGATCTGTTGGCAGTGCAGTGTTAGCCAAGTGTTTGGATAATAAAACATTTGGGAATTTCTCTCACCAGGTTAACAGCTTCCGAAACAACATCAAGCTGTTACAGAACGATGATTATTTCCAATGGGTGGGCTGATGGTGCTTCCCAGACTCTCCCTACATTCCTCATGCCCTTCCTCTGCCAACTGGCTTCCTGCTGGAACCCTAAAAAATAGCTTCCTGCTCCTGGTACAGAAACAGATGTTTGTCATCCAGATACGTTTTTTTTATTCAAGCATAGAATGAAAACCTGATAATGTGATCAGGGGAGTTTGGTTTGGTTCCACTATATCAGGAGTCACTTTGGCTGAAGATATTGATCAAGATCAAACATTGACAGTCATAGTGCATCTGCTACTCATCAAGTCTTTCAACATTCCCACGGCTGCTTTTGAGCCGGTCACAAAAACATTTTCATGATCTTGTTTTTAGTGTTTTATTTTGAAGTTGTTAACTGATCCATTTCTACTTCCTGCCTGTTTGATTGTTTGTCCAGGCCTTATTAGTTACACCTGTTCCCCATCAGCCCTCCTATCAACACACCTCCTCTAAACCTGCACTTTAACCCCTCATTAGTTTAAGCCCGTCTTCAAATCAAGATTTTTCTGTTTAGTATTATGAGATGTAGGAAAAAAAGTGGGCCTTGGGAGAAAAAGGAGAGAGGAGGCAGTGATGACCAGACTTAGCAGAGGGCATAGTCACTAAAAGTAATAGGGTAACATCTAACTGGACTTTGTGATATGTGTGTGGAAGAAGAAACAGTGGAGCATGTACCTCTGAACCGCAGAAGATATACATCCGAGGCTTTGGGTGACCGTAGCAAGATCTAAAGACCTACGGGACTGTGTGGAAAGTGTACCAGACAACAGATGTATTGTAGGCCATCTCTCAAGAATGGGATTGTGACATTTCTCTATCCTCCTTTCTTTCTTTCAAAATGTTGGATCATTACAGTGCTCAATTGCCTCTATAACAATCACAATAGATCGATAGCCTAAAAACACTTACAGATCTTGGATGGCACCAACATGCCCTATATTTATTTTATAAAAGTCTATTATTTAACCTGGAAGTAACACCTTGACACAGGATATCAAGCATTCTAGAACTCAAGTGACATCCAGTTAGTCCTCTGCTACTTTCATATTTTCATTGGGGATGCAAATGCACGTATTTTACAAAGTAAGGGGGAATGTCCCCTCTGTCTACGCCTATGCATGTCATTTCTGTGGGGGATGTTTTTGCTGTGTGGTGTATGAATGGAAAATGATTGCATCACTTGCTTTTAATCAATCAAACAGATGAAACAGATGGGCTAGTTGTTGAGTTCACGGAGTCGGGTCTGTGCATCTGGCAGCAGCAGCATTCAGATGTTGCCTCTGAACTGTGAGGACGGAGTAGTCGGTCACTGAGTCTCTTGCTTGACGGAGCCAGCACAAAATCCATGTGTCCCCATGTGAACCTCAAACGCCTGTTGATACTGTATTTTGGAGGCCTGTTTCTAGCTGCAGACAGGTGCCAAATGGACTGGAGACGGTATTGTGTTTCCTGAAGTGCCGTTTCAACAATCTAAAACACCAGACGAAAAACCAAGGCTTTAAAGTTGGAGAAGAAACAGAAATATAAATCTCTCCACTAATAGTAGTGTGATTGGACCAAATTGACATAAAGCCTCATGTGGGAGAGAGAAGAGACACAGTTTAGGTAACTAAATCCACATTTGAGTCCTGAAAACCTTGAAAGTCTAAATACTGTTACACTGACCAACGAGTTCAACTAGCCTTCATTCTCCAGGCTGTTCTAATACACCGTTTGTAGCTATACCTAAAGTAATGCTCTGTAATTTGTGTATTTCCCACAAAATCATTTCCACGTAATTGTGAACCAGGAAGTATCAGGGGCCAGAAAGTCCATAAAGGAATGAGTTTGTGGTGGATGGTTGGGTCCAAAAACAAATGGCTCTCACTCTGGAGACCACGTTTTGTGTACCTTATCTAGCCAGAATGTATCAATTTGTCATAACTCCCATATGTAAGTAGTGCCATTTCTATCTAAATCTTAATCCAAACTTGACTTGTTTTGCAGAAATCTTTGCCACTTCTGTAGTCATTTTAACCCAAACCACAATATTTATTGTTGCCTAAAAGAGTGATTTCCTGTAAAGACAGACTTTTATTTAAAAAAGGCGCCACAGTATGCATGTAAGAAGGGGAAATTCAAACATGTTGCTGGTAAGATATCATACGAACCTTATGAACTGTGAGATCTGTTGCATACTCTCTCTGGGCTCTTATCCACTCTGTGCTGGAGAAATACTCAACATGACATTATCAGTTGGATAAGATATACTTACTTTGCACAAGCTCAACATCAACATCATTTTTCAGATGTGCTTACTTGGGGTTCAAACTCCTTTATCTTAGTGCTGCAAATGAACAGGGAGTCCTTTGCAATGAAGACAACTATATAATAAAGAAAATAATTAGGAAAATATTAAACCAATATGTCTCTGTAGAGTGTAGACGGTTGTGATTCTGCAAGGACAATCATTTGCAAATCAGCTGGTTTTCTAGAAAGACTAGTAAATGTAGAGCAGTAACCCATTAACATCAGGTTTGTGGACTGATGGTTGAACTGACTGTCAAACTCTCTGTGGCCCAATATTGCGTAACTCTCCTCCTGTAACAGTGTAAAGGCTGAAAGTTGACCTTGGCTTCAAATATCCTCCCTCCTGTCACAACCATCAGAAAAGATCTACATTCAATCATGACTCATCAGAAAACCTTTGGGAAAACCGGGACACAATCTAAATATTGTGATACAATATGAAAAGTGTTTATTTAAGGCCTAACAAATGCAGCCTACTCTCATTTCTGGGAATGTTGCTATCTCAGTGAGAAACAGCAAAGTTACTGTAGTTGAAGGATTATATTATGATTGCTACGGCTACCTCTTGGTGCTACTATTACTTTTGGATCTAGCTGCTATAGTGTATCTATAATTTAGATCTCGTTAAAAATAGTTGTCAGTATAGATTCATAATCAAGAAATAATGTGAATGAACTGAAGTAAATATAATGGTATGTAAGGTTATTTAAACTCAGTTTAGTAAGCAGTTTTCTATGCTAAACAACTCCCCTAAAATGAGTACTAATTAAAAAAGAAAAGGGAAGTAAAGTCACGATAAATGGAGGTTTTACATTCTTGACCAATAGCCCAATCAACATACTGTAACTCGTGAAGCTTTTAAATAACTATGGTACCGTACAGGTGCTTGCCATGGCCCATTACATTAGTACATTTATCTGTTTCTTTGCCCATGCACCTGTTGCATGTTATACTGCTGATGCAGGGACTTTGCACAGACCGTGGGAGAATTATTGGAAACAATAAAACAGGCTCATTGATAAGGAGCTTCGGGTACTTCGTGTACTTCTTGTATGGAGTGTTGCACAGCAGAGCTCCGCGGTCAGACCTGAACATCCACTTGTTGAGTTCACAACAGTTTACCGTCGCTCTATTTAAAGAGGCAACACCATGGCTCGCGGGCTGGTCAGACGGGAGTCTGTGGAAACGGAGATGCATAAGTCCGAGGACAGCACAAAAACCTTCGTTTACACCAAGAAGAAGGGCTACGATGTGACCCGGAACCCCCCATTGAACAAGGTCAGTGGAGACACTTGTGAGAGTTTTCAGCGTGTTTCTGTGACAAGGTTGACATTATGTTTCACATGCGAGCTGCTGCTTTCATGCGCTGTAGGAAATATCACAACTCTGAACAGCGGATATGACTGCGGAAAGATGCTATGTTCTGTAATATCACAATTCAGTTAGTTTAAGTGACTTTTTATGGGGTGGAGATATTGAAGGAGTGATGGGTTATACGCCTACAACAATGTTTTGTTAATAAGGAACTTCAATGCTAGGCTAATGTTAAAGTTTGACACCTAGCTTACAGACGTGTATTTTTGGCCGCTGTTTTGGTGACATTCTTCCTTTTGTAACTTCAAGAGCAGCAACCATGAATCATATGTTAAGTATGGCATGTGGTCAATATTTTTGCTGTATACATGTACAAGTCTTCAGTGGACAGATGGTCGAAGCCCTCTAGAAGCAAGTGAACGCCACATTAGCCTGGAGGTTTAGGCATCAGCTTTAGCCGTGGTTATATTTAGATTTAAAGTGTTATCACACAGAGAGGCTAATATTGCACTGTCACGTATTGCTTTACAAAGACTGTAGCCGTTTGTTAGTAGGTTCATGCATTATTTACATAATTAATGGCGATTCCGGCCTCTGTTTCCCCAGTAAGGACTAAAGTACTCAGTGTACTACTACTGTATACTGTGGAAGCTGATATCTGGTTAAATAATTAATTACTGCCCCAATACATGTAATATTAAAGCTTGTTTTCACATTCTCTTCTTATAAAATGAGGAACACAGTTGGAAGTTGCCTCCTCATGCAACAATTAATGCTGAGCAGTTTCCTTGTAAATCATGGGAAAGAGGAAGAGGTTCTTTTAGGTTAACTCCTGTCATCGTCATCTATTGACATTTTAAACACAATTCATTAGACTGACTATTGCTGTTGAATAAGCCTGATGTATTTTTCCCATGCTTTAAACACATCCATCACAAAAGAAGAGTCTCTGGCAGCCCTTTGGCCTTTCCAGTGTTTTCTCTTGGTTTGTGTGGTGGGACGGGGCCCCAGGGGTCAAGCTGTGGTGACAGCCTGGTCTCTGTCCATGGTGCTGACTGACCATCCAAACAACTGGCTTAATTCACAGCCACTCTTATATGTCAAGTGTTTCCTACAAACAGTGCGTGGTCTAAATCAGCTCTTTGTCAAAGTCAAGCTAATTTTAGAGCTCTTGCACGGTCTATTTCTTCCCTCTGAGCTGTATTCTCTGAGCACTCTCACTGGTGAAATATGTTCCCCTTATGAAAGCAATGGGAAAACATTAACAGCTGTAGGCCTGTCTATTATGGTTAGGGGCGCAGCTATAGATTCATATCATTGTCGATTCATCTGCATCAACATTCTTTCAATTATTGATGATATTTAGTCAAAATATTGGTCAGAAGTGGTCGAAAAATTGCCATAAAAACCTTTCAGAGAGAGAAATTTGACAAGCTACAATCAGAGTATTGGAATTATTTTACTTTCTGCTTGAGAAAATAATGAAGTATTTTCTTCTATTGATTGATTAATTGGCTTACTGTTAAGTTTATTTGACTACAAATTGGCACGCATTCACTAGTTTTTGGTTTAAAAGCTGTTTCACTCTGATAAAGCTTGCAGTCAGTTTAGCACAGCTGGCTTGTGTAAACAGTGATCTGATAAGTGGGACAGTGGAGTTCACACAGGCCAGTGTCAGAGCTGGTGGCTGCACAGAGAGCAGTCTGTGAGGCCAGTTAATGACTCCACTGCTGAGGCGGCCACATGCTGCACATCAGCCCTGTGTGTTTGTTTTCACATGTGTAAGCGTGCATGGGGTGGCAGGTAGTGCACAGTTGCATTATGAGTATTAAGAACAAATGACAGCAGGAGGTGTGTTCAACTAGAGACACAAATGTCACTTTATGTGAGAGATTGCACAAAAGAACGAATCAGGTTGGTTGAATCCATCATAGGAACATGCTGTGTGTAGAAATGTTGCATTATACAAAAATAGATATTCAGTTTTGGAATACATTTAACAAACCAGGCTGTCAATGATAAATGAGGCTCTTTATGTGGTGTCACACTTGGAAGGAAGGCCGTTTGATTCCATATCAGCAAAAAAACATAAGGGTCTTTGTTCGTAGCATAAATAGAGCAATGCCCTTTTTTGAGACAAACAAGGTTTATGCAGATAAGGATTTCAGAATGTATTAAACAATCACAAAGGCTGAACCTGCACAACCCAGTGATTGATTCACTTTAGAAAGATTATAATATCCTCTAATACTGCCAGTATTACATAACATGGTTGTATTACCCATGACATTTACTTTGTGAAGGTTTAACTGATCTTTATCTGCTTTCCAAAGCTCTTTTAGTGTATTTATACTAACCTTATTTACATAAGTGCAGAAATATTTCATCTCAAGACAAAATGATCTGTCTATTTTTTAAAGAGGACATATTATGTTTATTTTCAAGTTTCATATTTGTATGTTGTGCCTCTACTGTGACTGGTTCACATGTTTTAATGTTAAACTGAAAAGAGAGAACCTCTTTCCACCCTCCGTCTGAAACCAGAGCCCAGTCTGCTCTGATTGGTTAGCTAGGAATCTGTTGTAATTGGTCAACCGCGTAGAGATGTCCTGCCCCTTAGCCTATCACATACAATGTTTTGGAAGGCTAGCCAATAGAAGCGTAAGTGTTAGTATAGTGATGTCAATATGTTGCGGAAGTAAACAAAGAAGTTCAATGAAGGTGTTTCAGGCAGGGGGGGAGGGGATTTTAGCCTTTGCAGACTATTTACATGCACACAAACCTATATAACACACTACAGGAAAGGGAAAACCCCCAAAAGCATAATAGGGCCCCTTTAATTCTCATTTTCTGTCTCTCTCTGAAATCACAGGCATTTACTGTACATAGAGAAACAAAGTGGAGACTCGTGGAAGCAGGTACTAGTTTTTAACATGACTGATATACTCCTGAAGAGTAAAGCATGTGACTTGAAAATGCTATATTTACGTAAGGAAACTCACAACAAAAGGGGGAAAGCCAAGTCCATTCCCTAAACTGTTTTTGTAATTATATGTTTGGTGAATGTCAAAGAAAATAGGCAGACATTTTCATAATGGCACTGTTTAACTTGTTGTGGCTTCAGGTCATCTTGGAAAGCCCCTTGGACTTTCTGTTACACACTTTGATTTTGTTCCCAGAGCATTACTTTTCTGCATATGCTGATCTAATTTTAAAATAGTTTATTTTTATAAATGTCTTCAAACTGATGTGATGGCTGTTTGTAATAAAGGTCAATCTGGGACCTATAGCTTCAGTGCTTAGACCTAAACTGTTTGTTTACGTCTCAATTTACACCTAGGGACCTTGAATGAGCCCAGTGTACAAGAGGGCTTTTAAAGAGGGCCAGATAGGTTGACCTAAATATATGTGAAAGCATGACCAGTCTAGCACTTGGATGTTACACTATATTTTGTCTGTTGTAACAAAGGTCTCTTGAGAACTTGGCCTCAGAAATGCAAGTCTTAAGCCTTTAATAGAAGTTATAGATACTTTTAAATGGCACAGAAAGATCACATGACTCACAGTTTTAAGACTTACACTCCCTCATGTATTTTGTCCCGTCTTGTTTCTTACTCTTCTTTTCCTGTCTCCATTGAGTAATGTTAAGAGTAATTATTATTAGAGCCTCACTTCTTTGTTCCACTCTTTACAAGAAGGCTTTTCTTCTCTCTTTTAAAGTGGGCCATTCTCAGTAAGCTCACAATTTGTTTTGTAACATTGTTTTGGGGAAGAAAAGTGTCTCGTAGGACTTTTGAGAGATTTTACCAAACTTTAGAGAGATCTGTGGCAGAACAGTTTTTTTATTTAGATCAATTTTAAAAAAAGTCGTCATATTAGGGTCAATGTACTTCTGTGTCAGTTAAATAATGAACATTCAACATGGGAGTGATTCACATAATAACATTTTCGGGTTGGCTTTCAAATAAGTTATCTAGCTAATTCATAAATTAGCTAGATAGTGTAACTCCCTCCCCCTCAGTTCAAGCTGCTATACATCTACTTTGCTGGAAGGGGGATGGGCAAAAGCTTCGGAGACAAACCTATAAGCAGGTACAGGAAATTGAAACAGCAGGAAAAAATAAAGAATGCTGATTTTGGTTGCTAACCCTTCAGGTTATCTAACTTTCTGTTGCTGTGTTTAAAGGGGGCTACACTTTAGGGTTTTGCTGAATGTTGGTCGGTTGTGTGTGTGTTGGGGTTGCACTAGCTTGCTAATATTTGTCAGATTTGTGGTCCGATTAACAGTTTATTTATCAAATGTGCTGCCCCATATTGCCTTTTTCCAGGCTACTGGGGTCTTATTTCACAAAAGAATAATAATATTAGCCTGGATACGATCCAATAAGCTTGATAGCCTTGGCCACTTTTTCTCATGATTATAAACTGACTTATTCTTAGGTAGAGATACCAAAACACAAATATTGTATAGTGCTTTAAAGGAGGCATTCAGCCAATCTCAGTTGTTGGTTGATCTGATCAATCTAAAGCCTCTCATCACTTCTGCTAAAGTGACCCAAAACACAGGCTCCCTCAAACGCACACAGGTTTGAGTCAGAGCAGAAAAAAAGGTTTCTTATGCAGCTGGGTGAACCCACCACTGTCAGCCCTGTGCGTGAACTGAGGCGAGGAAATTGGAGGAGAAGGTAGGAAATGACTGCTAAAGAGTGTTAGTGGCCCGGCACAGGCAGGCTTCTGTGGCTCAGCCAGTGGCACATTGTTTCCCTCCTTCTGATTTCAGCGAGCCCTGGGGAAGAGGTATGTTTACCTCCCTCAGCTGGCCCACTTCACCTCTAACAGGAGCCAGTCACAGCACAACATGCTAATTGATGCTGAGGGACGTAGCGCTGAAAGCAGCCTGTCCTCACATCAGCAGGCTTCGATTTCCTTTTAATCTCTCCCCTCTCACACTTATACCTGAGTGT